CAATAGTGCCAACCAGCCATCACCAATGGCCGGTGGCAAGGGAACAAGGCCGGTGGCCTCAAGCCATGGCCGATGAGGTGTGGTAATGGCCTACAAGCTATTTCCCACCCTCAGAAGCAAAACAAAAAGTGTTTGATGCAAAACCAAACACAAAACAAACAAGTCGAGAGGTCTTGAGGTAAGGCGCGTAGCCGAAACCTCCGAGAACTCAAGACGAACACAAACAAGGGTAATCATCAAGTGTTCAAACGATGACGTCCAAGTCTTAAGGACGGTCAAAAATGGGGTGTCTACAAAAACTTATGCGCTCATGCCTTGCTGTTGAGTCTACTAGTTGATCAATGCGAGGCATAGTAAAGCTATCTTTAGGGCAGGCTTTGTTCAAGCAAGTGAAGTCAACGCAAACTCTCCATTTTTCGTTCTTCTTCTTAACTACAACTGTGTTGGACAGCCATTGCGGGTACTGAACTTCCCTGATTGCTCCTGAAGCCAGGAGTTTTTCGACTTTTGCAATTACTGCTTCGGTGTGCTCGACTGAGGATCTCCGACTTTTTTGCACAATGGGCCGAGCTGAAGGGTTAATGTTGAGCTTGTGGCAAGCAAATTCTGGGTCCAATCCTAGAGTATCATATGCTGACCATGCGAATACCTCCACATCTTCCCTCAGCAGTTCCAGCAGCTGAAGTTTCTCATCAGCGCCTAGCGAGGTACCGATAAGGAAGTACTTTTCTGGGTCATCCTCTTTTACCAAGACTTTCTCCAAATCCTCTACCATCTTTTCCTCTAGGGTTCCCCCTACATCTTCCAAGACTGGTTGTTTGGCCACTTCTACAGTTTGTACCTGATTGCAGAGTTGTTTTGCCTTTAATGCTGCCATGAAGCAATGTTTGAACACAACTTGATCCCCTGAGATCTACTCTACTCCGTGTTTCGTTGGGAAACGGATGAGCTAGTGGTAGGTTGAAAGGACTACCTCCATTTGATGAATCCATGGGCGGCCAAGTATGGTGTTGTAAGGGGATGGTGTATTAATAACCAAGAACTCTATCTGGAGGGTTTTTGTTCCCGCCACGACTGGCAACACTATTCTGCCAAGCGGCCATTCTGGCTATGAATTGAAACCGACCAATGGGGCTGCCGCTGGGGTGAGGTGCTGCTCGGAGAGACCAACCTTTATGAACAAATCATAATACAATATGTTTGCTGCACTGCCTTGATCTACTAGGACTCGTTTTACGTCAAATCGTTTCCCAATTCCCACAGTTATAATCAATGCATCAGTATGTGGGTGTTGTATGCCTTCTAAATCTTTGCTAGTAAATAAAACAGTGCACAAGGGGGATTTGGGTATTGTACATACCTTTTTCGATGCAGGCTCCACTGACATGACCCTCTGAATTTGTACAGCGTTAGCGATCTCTTTTTTTAGTGCCTCATCAGATTCCTGAGTCGCCGTCCCGTGGATCACATTTATTATCAACCGAGGTGGGTGCTCAACATTCGGTTCTGGTGGCGGGTTCCCTAGTTCGGCCACTTCCTTATCCTGATCAATGTAATCCCTTAGGTGCCCGGCTGCCACTAGGTCTTCCAAGTGTTGTTTCAGTGCCCTGCAATTCTGAGTTATGTGCCCCATGTCTTAGTGGTAGGTGCGTCTGAGCTTCTGATTGCACCGAGGTGGTAGGTGCATCTGAGCTTCTGATTGCACCGAGCTGGATCTCCTAACATTTTTGGCGGCCAAACAAAGAAGGGCCCTCTCTTGATCTTCTCTAGGATTCGATAGATTAGCTCTTTGAGTACAATCACAACGGCTTCATGGGATTTGGACTTATCCACTTCATTCACTGCAATCCCTCGGTGTTCTCCTCGATCTATTCTCTTCTTGTGTCAAGCTGTTTGTTCTGCTGACGCTACCTCGATGGGGATCTGATCATCTTCGAAGCGAGCATACTGCTCAATCCTGGCATGCCAATCTTTCAAAGCTGTGGCCGGGCGCTTGGTAAGTGATTGTCTCAGCTTACTTTCCGAGCGCAGACCATGTTTGAAGGACATAATGGCCATCTGTTCGCTGCACACATTTTCCTCTAGGTCATTGTACTCTTTCCAGTACCTCCTGGCATAATTGCGCAGCATTTTCTCCTGCTCCTTTCGGAGACCGAACAGTGTATCCGGCTCCTTCGGGATCTTAGTGTTGGAGACGAACCTGTCTAGGAACTCTTTGGAGAGCTGCTTCCAGCCATGGATTGATCCAGCGGGGAGACGATCGAACCATCGAAGTCCAGTTTCTCCCAAGCTGGATGGGAAGACTTTACACATCAGTGCCTCATCTCGGTTCCATAGGGACATCATCTGTCTATAATGACTAATATGTGTCAGCGGGTCCGACTTCCCGTCGTATGAAGTGAACTTCGGTGGGGTGAATTTCTTTGGGGGTCTCAAGGTCTCAATCTCCGAGGAGAATGGCGAAGAGATAAGCCTGTCCAGCGCTCGGTGTTCTCTCTGGTGAACAGTACGGTCCAGATGATCCCGATGTTGTTCGTTTTGCCTATTACCAATTAACCAAGTACGAAGGTCCTGAGGAGGGTAGTCAGTCTGTTGGCTAACTGTCTTCTGCCTCTTGGCCCTTCTCCGGTGTGACCCACGGGTGTGACCCACGGGTGTGACTGCTTGCTGCTTCACTCTGTACTGGGATAGGCTGGCTTTGTTGCCCAGACTCATTCTTGGGGAACTTCTTCACTGGTGGCTCTCTGGATGAGCTCCTCCGTCGCAAACGAGAGGGCTCCGCTTCCGTCTTCTTTTCCGTCGGATCGCCCAGCACCCTCTTAAGTTGAGCTTTCAACTCCTATATCTCCATCCCCATGGAGTCTATGATTCGATCTCTATAATCCTTTTCCAGAAGAAAGTGATGAGAAGAACCTCCAGCGAAGGGTAATCGATGCTCGACAGATTCAGGGGTTCGATTATTGTTTCCAGTTTGTTCCTCCGGGACTGTTGGAAGTACCAAACCTTTGTCCTTCGTTTTCTCCGTCTGTGGAGTATGTGTCGAAGGGGAATGTCCTCAATCTCCGTCGCTGGAACTGAGTGCAGAGCTCAGAAATGAAGTGATCCACGCTCACCGCACCAATTGTGCATACCGGATTCCGCACTAGATGAAAGTGGATCAGGGCTCCGCACTCGGTTGGACTATCCAGGGACTGAGGTTCCTGCCACAAGAAGCACTGTTAGAGCTGCTCGGTCGGGGTTGGCCGGATAACCCCTCCGGTGTGGGAATTAGTGATCGGAGAGAGAATGTATATCGAGTTGAGCTTGTAGTTTTACTTGGAATCGATCAGTTACCTTCAATGTGAAGTTTATGTTGTATATATAGTGTTCCTTGCTTGCTTCTCAAGGTGGGTTCATGGAGTTTGAATGCTGCCAAGTGTCCTTTTAGCATTGCTCAAGGTCGGGGACCACCTGGTAGTTGTCATTGAATGCATATACTCATTGTAGTCATGCTGATAACAAACCACATTCCTCTGATTTAACAACTTTCGTGATTCTAGGTGTAGGGGACCAGGTGAGGTGGCAACTTGCACATGCACACATTCACAACTTCCATATTTCCTTGCGAGGTTTTCTCAGCTCAGTATCGCTGTGCTTCAGCTCGACATCATTATGCCTTGTCTCGGCCTTTTACAGGATCATTCATGGAGATGGGCTGATCCATTCGGATATCTTTGTATGGGCTTGGCCCATTTTCTGCTTGGCCCATAGGTTCAGTCTCGCAGCTCGGCCCAGCCCAGCACCACGGTTGGACTAACCTTTCCACTGCGGGTTAGGCCCAAGTGCTTGAGGACCTGGGTGGACTGTTGATCATGAAGTTGGGCTCAATTGGTTTGTCCATATACTCATCCAGCCCACTTGGATTCGAACTTCAGTGGATTGGGCCAGCCCAAGGCTTGGACCCGACCCATTTCACATTTAGCCCTATTCATTCTCCAAGTGGAAATGCCATGTACTTAAAGGAAATAATCAAACAATGATCTCTTTTAAAGTTTGAAGAAAATGCATCAAATCTTTTATATTTTACATAATTATCACTTTCCTTTTAATAAAATTAAAGATGTCGAAATTAATGCAAATGACATAAAAATATAAAAATAAATAATGTCTAATATACATTTTAGTGTAAATTAAATGACAACATCATTTTTCATCTACACGACAAACAAAATTTTAATGAAATTAATGTTAAGTGTCATATAAATTAAAATTTTAAGGAAGCTCAATGTTATTATGCTAAATTTGTGATATTTACTATATTTTCTTTAAATCTTAAAGAAGTCGGTGTAATTTACTCTAAAAAAATGTTGAAAAGATGAATTTATGGTGTTGATTAAACTAGGTGTGATGGAAGTCATACTAAAAATGAATAATTTTCTTTTAATTTTATTGTTTATAGAGAATATAACCACGGGGAAACTATTACTTAGTGAATTACAACGGAAATTTACCTAGAAATCCTATCTCAGAAAAGTATGTATAAAAAAGTTTCATAAATTTTCTTGTAGACCATTGAATTTAACCATGAGGTCAATTTGCTAAATTTTTTGGATATTCCAAATGTGGGTATGTTTCATTTATGCATTATTGTCTTATTAATTTTTTTTTTTTTCTTTCAAATGTGTCATTCTTAAAATGTGACAATAAGTCATCATTTTGATATGTGCACTATTATCTTATTACATTTTCAAATGTGGGCGTATGACTCATCGAAGAGATTTTAAGTGAGACAAGACTTATGGGTTCATAAAAATATTTACGAGACTAAATAATTCATAATTAAGTCATAGATATATGATTAGTAAATGGCCCTTTTTTGAAAAATTAATTATTGATTGATGAAAAAGTTTATGTGCAATTTTTTTTCAATACACACATGTAATTTTCCCTATAATCAATGAGGAACAAAACAAAATAAATAAATAAATATATTTGAAAGACATTGAATTGAATTGGTGTACCTCTCCTTTAAATTCAGGCTCCACAGGGTTAACAAGTAGGACTGCTTCTGGGTAGGCCAATGCTTCACCTCTTCCAGGCAACCGGTCATCCGGCAAGGGCATGTACCTTTGCCTATTATCTGCTACAGCCATGTATCTAAACCTAAAAGGTTCATATTATATAGGGTAAATTACACCTTTAACCTTAATAATTTGATTTAATTTTACTCTTGTGTTTATTATTTTAAATTAAATAATTTGGTCTCCACACTTTAAGTATAGTTTAGATTTTGTTTTGCCATTCAAATTGAAAAGTTAAATTAGTAATTTTGGAACATTTTTTAGTCTCTTGAAGTTTATACATAACCAAAAAAAACAAAAATAATAAAAATTAAAGCTTCGACAAAATAACCAAATTAAAATTGGACTTGAGTGTAGGATTTAAATTGTTTAAATGAAAATAATAGGGATCAAAGTAAAACTTTAGTCAGACTATAATTTTAAAAATTAGAATTTATTTTAATATATATACCACTTTAGATTTTCATATATTCTTTGCTCTGAACGCGCAAATATGATGAAGTAATTATGTATATGTATGTATAACTTTTGATCTATTTTTTTATAGATATTAACATTTTATTAAAAAAAACATTATTAAAAATATAAGAAGTTAAATATGATTGGTAATCAAAAAAAAATAAGAAAAAATTACAAGGGTTTGACTCTTTTAACAAAATAAATCATAAGTTTTTAAGTTTTTATCAATTTGAATCCTAATCATCTGATTTGTTTTTAATTTAAACTATTAATGTATTTTTGTTAAATAAAACGATTAAAAAAAGATATTTTAGTCATTAAACTCAACCAAAAAAATATATATTTTAAACATTTTATATACATCTATATTGAGTTTAATAACAAATTATCATTTTTTTGTCATTTCAAAAACCTCAAAGGACATTTTTGTCAATTTTGTTGAATCTCAGGAGAGGTCATTATCATTTATCCTATTTTTAAAATATTTTTTTGGGGATATGTATCTTTTTTCTTCAACATGGATAATGTAATCTCACAAATAATAATAAGGAAAGATGAAGAAACGAAGGGTATGTAAATATATACTTCTCAACTTTGAGCATAAAAGCAATCCTTGTTTCGTAGAGGATCAAAGCAGGCATATCCTCTAAATGTTCATAAATGGCATATGAATAGAAACCTGAGGAACCACGAAGCATTATAAACCTGGGCGAAAAAAGACAAAAAAAATAAATCAATTAACATCACACTAAAATAAAATAAATAAGTCAGGTTTGGACGGGCCAATCCAGCCCGCTAGGCCTTTCACATATCGCACTTTGACAATTCATTTCATTAATTTTTTAGGTTCTTAGAACATCTCTCTCAAATTAGTTATTTTTATTTTTTAGTTAAAATAGCGAGTAAACCACTTAGATTACCTCTATCAAACTAGCTACTAAGTTAGTCATTTTAGTTTTTGTGATTTTGGATCAGTAAATGTAGCTAATGATTTCACCTAGTCAAACATTAAAAAATATTAATTTTCATATTTTGAAATTAATTGGGTTGAGTTTATAAAAAACAATTCTAAATTAAAATGAATAAAAATAATATTTAAATAATATAAAAAAGAATAGAGAGTTTATTAGACAATGTATTTAATTAAGTATATAGCCAAAATAAAAATAAAAAATAACTTCCATGTCAAAATATAACAAAATTTTAACTAGTTTGATTTATATAAAAAAAATAAAAATAATCGAATTGATCTGATTATCATAACCACGTGATTTTATTTCTTGGTACACAAAAAGTTAGATAGTATATTTTTTAATTATATTTATTGTTTTCAAAACAAAGACGATAAATTTATGTGATTATGGTTATTGAATCAATATGAATTTTTTTTTAACATAAATGACCTATGCATAGGAACCACATAATGAATAAAATTAATCGTCCAAGCGAGACATATGCAAAGACCATTGGGTGGGATAGGACCATCCAATCCACTAATGTCTTATTTATATTGAAATAAAAAAAATTTATCGAAATATTTTATAATTACAAAAATGTTATTACTATGTTATTTTGTATAAATTTATGTAGTATTTAACATTGTCCTAATACAAATTAAAGGATTAAAAGCAAATGAGAGTGAGGAGAGAGGGGGAGGGAGGACCTTTTGTCAATGTTTAAGGGGGAGTGGTTACCCTGAAGGGAGGTGTCCCATGGCCTTGTGAATGACAGCTCTACTTGTTCTTCCTTTTCCATTATCACCTTGAAGCTTGTTCCATTAAGCCTGCAGATTCATTGATCTTTGTGTTGGATCATTAACGAAACAGATCAAATTAATTTGATAATTATAATTGAACTTAGACGGTCTCCAGTTAGATTAGTCAATTAGACAGTCTAGTTTGACTCATTGTGGGCTCATTTTTGATCCATCTCAACGATCTAAATCGTTCAATATGCAAGATTTGTCGGATATATAATCCCTATACAAAATCACATTGATCAGATGTCAATAGTCACTTAATCAGATCACATTTGTGTGAAAATTTTATTTTTGTTATTGAAACAAATTTGATTTTATTAAGTAACTATCAATATCTGATCAACATGATTTTTTTGTAGGAATAAATTACTCAACAAGCTATATATATTCAAGATTCAAATTATTGATTATGGACTCCGTAAAGGGCCCACGGAAACTTAACAATTTGCTCCAGTCCAATTCCGAACTAGGGGAAGCTACTGCCATTATAATTACATAATTTCATCAAATAGTGTCCATAATACAATCTGCCAACATTGTATTCTTCATAGTGCGAGGCTGGCCCGGCCCAAGTATACGCTACCTATGCTACCATTTGGGCCCAAATCAAGTCTAAAAACAAAATTTATTTTTGTTAATTTTGATTGTTAATTTTTTAGTTAAAAATATTAAAATATTAATGTTTAAATGATATTTTATTACAGTTGATTTAGTTTTTTTGGTATTTATAATTTTAGTTTTCATTTGATTTTTTTTTTTCATGTAAAGTAGAGTTATACTGTGAAGTAACAAATATTAAATTTTGTCTTTTTGAGTTGTAATGATTTTATTTTGATATTTTTTTCTTGTACCGGAGTTTAAAAAAGGTTTAACCCTAGAGGGGTGATGTATGGGGTTAGACTCTAAGGAATCAAGACTCTAGAACTCACCTTTAGATGGTTCTACATGGCAAAGTCACTTAATCATGTAGCAGTAAATAGTTGTACATAGACGGGGATTCGAACTCACACTCCTGACACTGGATATAGTTCATCTAGGCATGGAAAATTCGTCATAGCAACCATATGTGTTGTCACCTAAGTGGTTGGCCTCGAAAAGAGTAGAACCTGAGATCTCAATACTTATGCCTAGAGCTCTTACCAAGTTGTCACTCCATGGGCTAGATTTAGACCAACCTTTGCTAAACTATGAAGCAACATACACCCAAGTTTATCTTTGTGAGTTTTGTAATGATTTATTTGGATCTTAATCTATATAAACAAATTTTTGTATGTAATTTCAGTAATGATATATGTAAAACAATTTTTGTGTAGGTACTAGCAAATATGTATGTTGGGGGTTCTTGCATTTTATTTTATGTTATTATGTAAATATGTATATAGAGCCTTAAGTTTGCTTAGGATAAAAAAAAATTAGAGAAAATTATAAAAATAAAAAATTTATAATTTGACTCTTATAACAAAACAAACACTTAATTTTAATTTTATTAATTTAAATACTAATATTTTGATTTGTTTTCAATATAAACCACCTACCTATTTTTATTAAGTAAAATCAATGAAAAAAAAACTATTTTAGCCAAAACAGTATTTTAGATATTTTATGTACAGATTGAGTTTAATGGCTAAAATATCATTTTTCATTAGTTTTAATTAACAAAAATAGAAAAAATATTTTGATTGAAAATAAATCAAAAATATTATGATTTAAATTGAGAATATTGCTATAAGAATTTGAAAAAATTAAAAAAAAAATTAAAAATTTATTTTGTTACACCAATCAAATTTTGCATTTTATTTAATAATTTTTTTCAAAAATTTAAAAATGGCCTGTCTTAACGGAGTGTGGACCTCATGTAAAATAAATGCAATGCTATTTTTTTTTTTTTTTAGGTCTCCCACAATATCCCCAGGTTTTTTTGGACCTAGGATTAATCCGTCGAGGAAGTTGCTGAGCCCATATGCGGGGTCCTCTCCCAAGAGGGTTTGCTGCATCCACAAAGGCTCAAACTTAAGACCTTTGCTTAAGCGACCCAAGTCACTTTCCACTTGGACCAACCCCATTGATAAATGCAATGCTATCAACACAATATTTTAGACACGTTCCAGACAAAAAAAAGAAAAGAAGAAAAGTTTAAACTTCTCCACAAACAGAGAAAAAGAGAGAGGGTCATTACACATCAAATTGGCCTTTTGTTCCCATGTTTCCTGGGTCAGCCCAATTAAGGTCCCAGAACCTGCACATTAATTCCACCACGTATATAATATAAAAATGACACCACTATTCTTCCAGAATTTTCGTAAAAATTACACTACTATTCTCCCAGAATTTTTCATGCAGAATCATTTTCCAGAATTATATGTTAGTGAGATATTAAAATATGTTTTTTTTTTCTTTTTAAATATTAGGTTTATATTTGTGTCTCATCATTCTTTATACAATTTTTTGCTTGAATGTCATCATATATATTATTAAAAGTAGTATTTTTTTTTTTATGTTTAGGTATCACATTATAAAGCCTTAACTTTTTTTTAAGAGAACCACATTACCATACATTTTCCATTTACATATAAAATTCTACACAAACTCAACTTCAATTATAATAACCAATTTTACATGAACTCTATTTGAGAAATGCTTATTTTTCATATATATACACATTCTAAAGTCTTATTTATTTATTTATTTTCTCAAAAAGCCACATCACCTTACCTTTTCCATTTGCATATAAAGTTTTATACAAATTTAATTTCAATTATGATAATCAATTTTATATGGACTCTATTTGAGAAATACTTATTTTTCATATATATAATTTAAACTACACTTTCCTAATAAATAGTTTTAAAATAGATATTAAAGAAAAATCAATACTCAACATAACTAATCTATCTATTTTTTCTTAATCTAATCGCAAGATGCTTATATTTAATTTATTAAAATAAGTTTTTTTTATAACTTCTATTTCTACTTTTTTTTTATTATTATTTTCAACTGAAGAAAATAAATAAATAATTAAAATCACTTTTAATTGTATGTTACTATTTTTTGGAAAATTTACCTATAAGTCTTAGTTTCTGGAAAGTTGAACCATTTAGTCCTAAAAGTTTTCTTATGCTCCATTTAATCCCATTTGCACATCAATCTAATGTTTGAAACATTAATCTGATGTTCGAAATCTAATATTCGAAACATTAATCTGATGTTCGAAATCTAATGTTCGAAACATTAATCTGATGTTTGAAACATTGTAATGGGACCTTTCAGTCTATAAGAAAACTTTTAGGACTAAACAGTGTATAAGTTATTAATTTGGGATTTATTGGTGCATCCCCCCTATTTTTTTTCCAATTTAACTATTATTAATAATGTCAAATTGAGTGTTTATTTTACTATGTTATAATTTAATATCATATAAAATCATTATATATTTATTTTAGTTACACATTAATAGTACGATAGGGCTAAGATTAGTCAAATACACATAAATAATTGAAATAAAATTATTATATATATTTGTTTAAATAACACTTTTACAGAAGGATACGATTAAGATTATTAAAATAAATAATTATAATCATTATATAATTTTAAATGAATTTTTTTCTCCAATTTAATCATTATTTTTAATATTAAAATGAATATTTATTTTATTATATTGAAATTAAGTATAAAAGTATCATATATATATATATATTTAAATTATACTTTCATAGTTTAACAAAACGAAAATTGCACTGCATATTTCGTAATATATTTTTTAAATAGTTCTATGTATATGTATACATATTATTCTTTTGTAATGCATACATTGTAACATATTTCTAAAAATAATTTATATATAAGCATATATAAATAATTTAATTTAATTTTATAAAAATATTATTTAGAAAGAAAAAAAATTAATTTATGCATTGCACGGGTTGCCTATTAATTATTTTTATAATAGTAAAAACAAAAATATTAAGGAGTTGTAATGCAATGTAGGTACCCTGCATTGAACTGTGGGTTATGAAGCTCAAGCAAATTGTCAATTCCATTATATTGAATTCTAATAACAGTCCCTCCCGGAACTGTCAGTGTGACTTGAAGTATCCCATTATCCATCACCACCTGCAATAATAATAATAATAATAATAATAATAATAATAATAATAATAATAAATTAAAAATTAATATCTCAATTATATTTTGAAAAAATTATGTAAGGATCCCTCTACATATTTGTTTAAGAGTTTAAGAACAAAACACAATTTATTTGCTAGTTGAAATTTCTAAGATTTAAAATTTCATGAAGATAAGGACAAATTTTAACATAAATATCAAGAATGTCATTTTAACAATTGGTACCATGAAATTCCATTGCCTTCTCTCTTTACCATAGACAAGTTGTATTTTAGAATGTGTTTCAAAACTTTAAAATTTAATAACTTTTGAACTGAAACTCTATATTTTGTAAAATTTATATTTCTGAAATCGTCTCGTCGAGATCTATCAAATAAGATTAATGATGAATTTGAAATTTTGAAAAGAAAAAAAAATAAATTTTCACTGAGTTTTTTGACTAAAAGTCAAAGAAATTTCATTGACTTCTCAGTTGTCCAATTTCTGAAATTTCTCTGAGAGAAAATAAGCAATTTAGAAATTTCTTTGAGCAATTCTAAAATTTCTCTAAGTAACTTTTTCAGTGAAACTTAAAGTCAATTACAATGACATTTAACTTATTTTAGTGAAATTTCTTTGACTTTTAGTCATTGAAAGTTAGAGAAATTTGTCTTCTTGAAGGTAACAACTCAGTTAAAATTTCTTTATTTTTTTCTTTCAAAATTTCATATTTATTATAAATCTTATTTGATAGATTTTGATGAGAGAATTCAAAAAGTATAAATTTTATGCAGAACAGAGATCTAGGTAAAAAGTTATTGAATTTTAAGTTTTGAAATCTATTACAAAAAACGAAAACAAAGTTTGCTAGATGTTTCAAGCAATAAGGGTGTTTTTGTCCAAAAAATTGTAGTGTATTATAGTAGGACTGGAACTTTGAAGTTTTTGTTTTGTGTCCTTCAACTAGTAAAATCTTATGATGAAGGAGATAAAAATTTCCTTATACTTACTCTCTCTCTCTCTCTCTCTCTCTCCCACACATAATATATATTAATAAGTCTTTATTTATGAAAATTCATTTTATTTTATTTAATTACATTTATTTATGTTTTTGGATTAAAAGTTCAAATCTTATGAAAATGAATTTGACACCTTTTATTTCTTTCATATTATAAAGGTAATATTATATGATTGTTGAGTTTGATTGTTGGGTTGGGTTGGGTGTTTTTTATGAGGGTTGTATTGTGATTGTTGTGCTTGATTGTTGGGTTGGGTGGGGTGGGGTTTCTTTGTGTTAGTTGTTGTTGACCTGGGCCAGCATTTTGTCATGGTGGAGGTCTGGGATAAGATTGAGTCACAATCGATTTATGACGCTTGGCGTTGTACCCTTTAAGGGCATAAAGTTGCACCTTTACCACTACTTATGGGTTTTGGTGAAATGACCAGTGTCGAGGTCTTACAATTGGTATCAGAGTAAAGTCTCAAGTTTGATTCCTCTAGAGGACACGCACTTTGTGGGTAGCTGCTGGAGGGGATTGTTGGTCTGGGTTTAGGCCAGCATCCTGTCGTAGCAGAGGCCTAGGGTAAGGCTGAGTCACAGTTGATTTGTGACGCTTGGCGTTGTACCCTTTAAGAATTATACTTGTAAATATATAATTCTTTATTTTGATGTAATTATTTTCATTATAATCTCAATACACATTGTAAATATCTCAAAACAATTTTTATATATTTTTATTTATTCTTTACACATTTTTCAATACTTTTTCTTCGTAATTAATTTTCTGTTGATTGGGAAAAAAGAGTAAATATCATTGAGAACATTTGTTTCAGTTGTTTTCTAGGGAAGTTCAAGCACACAGTGAAAATTGTGAGTTCAAACTCCATATGGAATGTGGGTGATCCCCATTCTCTTTCCTCCAAGATCTAGATTAGAATAAATTCTAAAGAGTAAAATAAAAATAATAAAAACCAGATGGTGAAAGCATTGAAAAATAAATTTAACAAACAACAGAATTGTCTTTCTATAAAACAATTTTTTTATATTTTTTATTTTTTTGAGAATAATCTCTAAAACATTTGATTTAATTAGTTCTATTCATGATTATTTTATTTATTTTATTTATTGAGGTATAGTTTTATTGTTTTTAAAAAATCATAATTCCGAAACTGTCATGGGACCACTTTAAACACACATTTAATACATTCAATGTGAAATTTACACAAATAAAATGTTAAGAATCGAAATAACACAAAAACACATATTCTGAGGATTAAAAATATAAGGGTAAATTACACTGACACTTCCTGAGATTTCTGTTTAACATAGATTCCCCTTTACGTTTGAAAATTTATATTTCCCTCACTGAGATTTGTAATCTTATTACAAATTATCTCATGAATTATTGATGTATGCCCCAAAATTTTCTAAATGATTATTTTGTCATTTTTTCTACAATTTCTTTTTCCTATCGTCATGACTACATTTTACAACTTTCTATCATTAAATTTTACTTGAACATATTCTTATTGAGTGATGATATACAAACACAAATTTATATAAAATTTTCAAACACAATGATATAACTTAATAGTGATATTTCACTTTAAAACAAAACACACCATGAACATGATTTATATTTACAATAACATCACTATCACAATATTTTTATGATATTTTTTGTATAAATTTTTATATATGAATATAATTTTTCATTTTTATTTCCACCATCATTTTTTTTTCTCATCTACTTACTCACATTTATTATATATTACAAACACCGTCATTCACATTATACAGTATTACCTGGAATTTTTGTATCTTATATAATTATATATTATATATATTGTATTTGGTGAATTTTAAAAAAAAATTCACAAATATATTGAGCTCCTTAAAGAAGTATACTGGATATTATGTTGTATTTAAATGAAAAATAAAAAAATTACTTAAAATATTAAAAAAAATCAGTAAAAATAAAAATATACGAAAAATAAAAAAGTTCAATTTTTTGTGTGAGTTAAACCAAAGAATATAATTGTTATTTCCCTTGAAATAATATGAACAAAATATCAACATTATTTTATTATTTTATATGTACAAAGGTTAAGGGACAAATATGTCATTTTAATCTGACAAGAGGTAAGTGTAATTTTTCAATCATTAGGGAGAATCTGTATTAAACAGAAATCACAAGGGTTGTCAATGAAATTTACCCGAAATATACAATTAACCATACTGAAATTTGTCTCTATTTGACTGTATCTATTTATTAGATAGTATTACATACTTGTGTGTATTCAAGGAATATCACTTTTTGATACAGATACAATTATTATTCTTCTTTCACCAAATTCAACCCATCATCAATTAGAATAATTGATAAAGATTCACAAATAAATTTAGGATAAATTACAAATACACCCTCGATGTTTGTTTTAAATACAAATTATCTCTTGTGATTCTGAACACTAAATCACGCCCCTTCAAGTTTGTAATCGCATAACTAATGAGTCTTTTTATTAATAAGCTATCAAATTAATTAAAAGTTTGTAACGATATTAGAAATATATTTTAATTAACAATTCAAGTAATTTTACTATTGTATAAAAGAATAGTTAGAAATTTCATTTTCTCTGTTAATTCTATTAAATAAAAAATTATGAAAATGAGATATTTATAATTTCTATAATCATAGGAGGGAATTTGTATTTTAAGCAAATCTCTAAGGCTGTATTTGTAATTTACACCCATAAATTTAAGAAATTACTTTCTTTTATGCTGTATATTTAATTGATATTTATTTCTTCCATTTTATATTACTTGAGAGCTCTATAGATTTTAATGTTAAAATAATTTATTTATTGTTGTACGGGGAGGAAATAATTCTCCTCGTATAATCCTGTTGACCAAGTCCACGCTCCTCCGTACGACGTCGCTTTATCACCTGAAAACACAAACGTGAGCTAGCCGGCGGGTGTGTGCCGGAAACCTCTCCGATGCCTAAGTCAGAAGTAGAAGAGATTCTATAATATAAACTTTTAAAAAAGGTATATTATGCATAAATTATAATATTTTGTACTATTAGGTATCACTTTGTATTGTATCTATATCATTTTAAATGATAATTAAAAGCTATAATAAATTATAACTAAATTTTACTAGAGGTACAATCAAAATAATTATTACAATCAGTCATAATTAAGTCACATTCAATCATAAGCAAGCAATAATTAATACTACAATAATTTATAAATAAATATCATAAAAGATCGTAATTAGACATGGTACACATTTTTTCTAAAAGGGTTTTTTCTAAAAACAGTCCCAATAGATATAAATAAGAAATATTAAATGTCAAAATATCTATAATCTCAATACACTTTTTATATATCTTAAAATATTTTTACATATTTCAATGCTTTTTATACACTTTTTAACACTCAAGGGCTGGTTTAGGAAGTATATTTTTTAGTGATTTTTTGGTTTAGGAAGTGATTTTTTTTTTAGTTAGCTTATAGTTTTTTTTAATTAAAATACAAGGTAAAAAAATTGAAGTATTTGAGAATGACTTTTAACTTTTTACGGTAACGAAAAAAAAAAGAGAGTAGAGAGTGAAAATAAATCTTTAATTTTTTGTATTGGCTTTTTGATATTTTTTAATGATATTTTTTAACTTTTTGACTAATTTAACCACTTGAATTTGAAAAGAAATTTGAAAAGAGAAAGGCAAAAAATTCTCATTTCACCTATATTTCATTCATCTTTTATTTTTCTTTTTCTTCTAAAATTTCTATTAGAAATTATGGTTCAAATACAATTTAGGGACACTTGGTCCATAAATCCAAACTTGAATTTTGTTTAGTCAAAAGTTTGTATTCTAAAATAGTTTGTTCATAAGGAAATACTCAGATGAAATGACCAAAATACCCCTATATATATTTTGTAACCATGGTTTAGAAGATCAAACCCCTCTCGTCTTTCTCGTCTCTCTCTCCACTTCTCCTTAACTCCTTTGCCACCGTCACCGCTGACTAACCACCACCTTCGCCATTCTACCAACCAACCACCACCACCACCACCACCACACTCTCTCTCTCTCTTTCTCCCTCTTTTATCTCTTCATCTTTATTCATCGGCATTCGTCAGATCCACTAGCACCATGTTTGCCTTCACTTTTATCTGTCACCGCCATCGCTAAAGATGACGGTAGCGGTGGCAGATCGGGTGCCGAGAGTGAAGAAGGTCGACGAAGAAAAAGATCACATCGATGTGAATGAAGAAGATCACATCTTAACCATAGTTCTAGGGTTTCAAACTTGATATTCCCTAGGGTTTCAAACTCGATCTTTCCTAGGGTTTTGATTTCAAGTTTGACCACCACCACCACCACCACCACAGTCCTCATCATCTCTAGATTGCAATCTTGTAGCTATTTTTGGGTGAAATTCTCTTCATCTATTGTCCTCTTCTGGTGAACTTCGAAAAATGTTTTCACAATTTTTTGAATTTTGCTTTGATTTAAGTTTCTAAATATTGGATACTAAAATGTAGTTGTGTTTGATTATAGAAGGGTTTTGAGACTCCGGTTGAAGAGGGTCTAGCAAAAGTTGTTCCATCGACACTCAAATTGTCTCACTAATCTCTCATAGATTTGGAAAATCTAGATCTAAAATAGAGAAAACCTGGATTAGCCCATATTAGCCCAAGAAGCTCATTCATCTCTCATAGATCTAGAAGCTTTGTTTTTTTTTTGTTTTGTTTTTTTTTATTCATTTTGAAAAAATGGCTCAGATCTGGATTTGGGTTTGAGAGATATATGTATTTATTTTTTTAATTTTATTTGTTGTTGTTGATGATGATGATGATAATTGTTGTTGTTGTTGTTGTTGACGATGATGATGATGATGATGAAATAGATATGTAATGGCTTAGATTTGTACAGATTTGTTGTTGATCAGATTTGTAATTTGCATTGATAATAAAATGATAGTTTGTATAGATAGTGATCTAATCACAAAGGTCATATCACTACTTGGAAAACAAGTTTAACAGATCACTCCAAAAGGCTCAGATATTGAGCAGATATGTTAAGATATATTCAAACAGATAAAGAAAAAATTGAACAGATAATAAAGTTTAGACAGATATTTGAATAGACAAGGGGAAAAAATTAAACAAATAGTCAAACATTTGAACAGATAGGGGAAAAAATTAAATAGATAGTCAAAAAATTTACACAGATAGATATTAATTTGAATAGATAGAAAATAATTTGAATGGATAGTTAAAAAAAAGACAACAAATAAAGAACATTCAACGGATAAATTAAGGGATAAAATTAGAAACAAAATGTTATTTAAAACAAATAAAATGATTTCTCATCAAATTATTTCACAAAGAGTGAATCTCTTATCAATAAAAAAATATCCACTAAAACTAATATTTTAAGCACTCTTCAAATTGGGAAAACTTGTACATGCAAAAACCTGTTATTTTAAATAACAAAACTCCCAACAACTCTTACAACTAGATGCCTACCTAAGTAGTTACAGAGAAGCCATCTCCTTGAAGATATAGATTTAAAAGTGTACAATTGTCTGAAGTGCTGGATCTTACCTAAATATTTGCTTTAAATATGGAATCATTTCATAAGCAAACTAATGTAATAATGATTCTAATGAAATGATAATCATTATAATGTGATGTATAATTTATTGGAATAAAATCGAATAGAATCGAATAGGATGGTTGTTCTGTGACTTACTCCATCATAATCATAATGATGAATGGTTATTTTATTTGTATAAAATATATATTTTTAATTTTATTTTAATGAACCAATTATGATAATTGTGTCAATTTGGTTGAATTAATAACATTGTTAGGATTTTTCATGGAAAGTGATTCCTGAGTTGGTTGAGATTAACCCATTGATTTGATCAGGTTCATAATTTTTTTCATTAAAAGCATGACACAAGCCATTCATGTATACGTTTTTCATTAAAAAAAAAAAATGCTAGCAATTAAAATTAATTGAATTAAATTGAGACAAAATCATAAATTTATGGCCAAAATCAAGGTTATTAAAGTTACATGGACTAAAATGACGCAAGTACCAAATTATAAGGACTAATTGTGTAATTTTCCCTAGAATGATTATTCTTTATGTTCTGTTTGGTCTATTAGAATAAAACGAAATGAAATTATCATCTTATTATAATGTTAAAATTGAGTCAATTAAAAGTGTAAAAGTCAAAATGACACAAAAGAGAAAATATAAGGATTATCCGTGTCATTTCTCCATCATTTTATTTCATTCTACTGTCATTTCAATAAATAAAACACTATCTAAAAGGGAAATGCTCCGATGTGCGATACAGATCGTATGTAATTCTATACAAAATTACATACGTTTTCACGAATTTCTATAACCAATCATATACAAAAATATATAAGTTGAACACAAATTTATGTAAGTTTATGAAAACTTATGTGATTACACAAATTTGTATTGAACTTTTAAATTTTTGTGAGACCACTTATGTAAGTTCGTGAAAACTTATGTAATTTTATATAATTTTATATAGGATTGCATATAGTGTAAAATGTACATCCAAGATTTTTCGCTAAAGTGTCATATCAAGAAAGGAAGAAAGACAAATTACACCGACAATTCTAATATTTTGCCTCTTATGTTATTTTGGTCTATATACATACTTTCAATTAGTACAATTCTAATATTTAATTTTAGGGGTGGTTTGGGGTGTCTTAAAAAAGTGCATTTTTTGTCTTTTTAGACTAACAAAGTTGAGAAAAAAATATGGAGGTTTGAGTTAACTTTTTGACTTTTTATGGAAAAATATGTATTAAAAAATTGTATAAAAAAAGTGTGTAAGAGAAGATTAGAGAGAAGTGGGCCCAGCCGTACAACCTGCGTGTGTGAATTGGAGTAGGAAATTATTGGCTAATTTTTGGGCATTATACTAGACGGTTTTGTTTGGCCCATGGGGGTCATAACGGGTCCCATTTTAATAATCTGAACCGTTCAATGTGTGTAATGCGTCGAACACTATGTACCTATAAAAAATCACGTTAATCGGATATCGATAGCTATCTGATCAGATTTATTTATTTTTCAATCATAAATTATAACACCATCCATTAGTTGTACATAACTGACTTGATCATATAGTTATCGATATCTGATCAATGTGATTTTTTGCAAATATATAGTACCTGACGATTTCTACATATTGAACGGTTCAGATTGTCAAAATGGGACCCGTGATAGCCTCCATAAAACGAACAACGGTGTGTGTAAAAAATACACCCAATCATTTCTTGTTTTCCCCACTGCCACACAGCAGCTGCACGGGTCATCAATTCCGTGTGTACTATTGTTGAAAAAAATTGATTTTTTAATTTTTATTTTTGATGAATAGTGACATCTTTTTGGATTTTGGAGTAATTTTTTGGCTTTTTGACTTATACAGTAGATGCCAAACAAGCCCTTAGATTTTATATTAATTTGATCTAATTGACAACACCATTAAAGTTTTTGAAACAAAATTATCACTGAGTTAATAGTAAGTTGATGAAGTTTATAATTTTATCACTAACAAAATGACAAATGTTGTTCATATGTACAATTTTTTTTTTTATAAAAAAATATTAATAATTGTAATCAATTGAACCGAATTAAGAAATAAATCATAAATTCATAATTAAATTTGAGCTAATTGAAATTTCAGGACTAAAATGATATAAGAATCAAAGTATAGGGCTACCACCGTAATTTTCAACAAAGAAAGAAAGCATGAAAAAAAAAAAAAACGGATAATAGAAGAAGGCTTACATGATCATCATGAATCTGCAGCTGCACATCAGCCATTGATGCAATGCCCTCTTCCTTCTGATCCCCTGCAAGTTCTTCGGGGCAACCTGGAAACCGTTTCCTGAAATCTCTACAAATAATGCTTTTATCAGCTCAAAAAAAATATCTTAAAAACCCATATGATGATTTGGAGAAATTCGATGCAATATTACCATTTACATTTCTCTTCATTCTGGAGAGGCAACCTAGTAGAAGAAGAAGAAGAAGAAGAAGAAGCTTGAAGAGTTGTTAGGACTAGTATTATAATTATTAGAAGCATTGGTATTGTTGGGTTGGCTTGAGAGAGAGACAACAAAACTATCTTTTTCCTTTTATTTCCTTCAATACGATACGATCTCGTGACTTTAACTTCACTTTTTGTTAGGCTTGAGAGAGAGACAACACACCAAGAATCTTTTAGAGTGTTTTTTTCTTAAAATTTTTTAAAGTGGTGTATTGTGTGGTTAAGATTTAATGTTAAAAAATTGATGAAATTTGTCCTTAAATCTCAACCACACAATACACTAACTTAAAAAAAAAAAAAAACTCTAGAAGATCCTTGTAACCATTTTTTCCTTTTATTTCCTTCAATACGATCTCGTGACTTCAACTTCACTTTTTGTTATGCTGAACCTTGCACGGTTTTGCATGCAAAAGTGTCTGCTTTCTCTTTCTCTCAACAAAGTTTGAAGTGAGGATTACTGTGAATTACCAAAATTATATGCACATGGACAAATACGTGTGTTTTAATTTGCTTTTTACTACCAAAAAAAAAAATTTCCTGTGTGTTTAGTTTGAGTTTTTTGAATTAAATTTTTTAAAAATTGACCTTTTTAATTTTCGTATTTTTTTGTTTTTAGTGAATATTTTTTAAATTTTAAACATTTTTTTTACTTTTTTAGATGCAGCTTACTTAGATGTATCTAAAAAATAAAAAATTTGTAAAAAAATATTTTTAAGAATTAATAAATACATAAAAATACAAAAAATATACTAAATTCTTGTATTTTTTATATTTTTGATATTTAGTGAATTTTTAAAAGATTTTTTTTATAATTTTTTTACTTTTTAGGTATATTTATGTCAGGTGTGTCTAAAAAATAAAAAAATTGTTTAAAATATTAAAAAAATTCAGTAAAAATAAAAAAAACACGAAAAATAAGAAAGTAAAATTTTCTGAAAAGTGTTTTTTGAAAATTGGAAACAAGTAAAGTGATTGAGATTCTGAAAAAGTATTCACAATTTAATTTATAATAATGTGGTAGGATATATATATCAATTTTTGATTTGTTACACATTTAGGGGTTGTTTGGGGTGATCTAAATAAGTGCACGTTTTGTCTTTTTACGAAAAGATGTGCAGAAAAGTAGAGAAGTGATGTGATGAAAAAAAAATAAAAAGGTGGATTATATAGGAGATGCCAAACCACCCCTTAATAATGATGTCCAACTCAAATGCCACATATCATTGTAGGTGAATTGTGGGAGTAAATTGTGGATATTTATCATTACTCTTTTATTAGTTTCAATAAGGACTGAGTTTCTCTCATGTTGAGATCTCAACATCAGAAAACTTGAGGAATTCATAGAGCTCACTATATGTCCCGTTTTAATGATCCGAACCGTTCATTTTTTAAGATTCATTGAGTAGAATATTTATACAAAAAATAAAATGATCGGATATCGGTAGTTATATGTTTGAATCAAATTTATAATAGAAAAAATGGATGGTTATTCTTAAAATTATATTTTGTTGTCCATTTAAAAAAAAATTATGATTCAAATATATAGTTACCAATATTCAATCATCTTTATTTTTTTGCATGAATATTCTACTCAGCGAGTTTTAAAAAGTAAACGGTTTGAATCACTAAAATCGGTTTCAAATTGGGTCTACAAAGTCCAAACGCTTTCTTAAGTTAAAATGGCAACTTGAGATAAGCCAAACCCTTTAAATAAGGATTTGGAGTGACTGTTGTGCGGGGGGCACAACAGTCACTGTTGTGTAGCAAAATGAGCCAATTTCGAGACTCATTTCGATAATTCGAACCATTCACATTTTAGAATACATCAAGTAAAACATGCCTCTAAAAAATCAAGTTAATCGGATATCGTTTACCCATTAGCCACTCCCATTTGTATCTACAAAAATAAATAATAATTGTGATTTAAAGTATTAAAATGAATACAAATGTGAGTAGATGAAAGGGTTAACGATATCCGATTAACTTAATTTTTGCAAGTATGTTCTATTTTAAAAATTACATCCTGCCTTTTCAAAATTTTAATTGCATAATAAATTACTCATTTTATTAATAAATCATCAAGTCAACTAACAGTTTTTAACAATGTCAGAAATATGTTTCAATTAACAATTTATGTAATTTTGTTATTATATACTAAAGTAGTTAATAATTTTTTGGATAAATTACAAATACACTCTCTTAGGTCTGCTTAAAATAAAAAATTGCCCCTTATGGTTTGAAAAATTATAAAAATACCCCATTGTTAGAATTTTTTATTTAACAAAATTAACTAAAAAAATTAAATTCATAATTGCTCTCCTATACAATTATAAAATTACTTAAATTATCAATTAAAACACATTTTTAACATCATTAAAATGTGTTAATTGACTTAATAATTTATTAATAAAAAGGGTAATTTGTTATGAAATTAGAAACCTCAAGGGATGGAATGTAATTTCCAAAATCACAGGGGGCGATTCGTATTTTAATCAAAACTTAGGAGGTATATTTGCAATTTATCACTCCTGAGTTTTGGTTAAAATACGAATCGCCCTCTATGATTTTGAAAATTACATTTAACCCTCGAGATTTCTAATTTTAGAACAAATTGCCCATTTTATTAGTAAACCATTAAGTCAATTAACAATTTTTAATGATGTTAGAAATATATTTCAAATAATAATTTAAGTAATTTATTATTGTGTAAGAGAGCAGTTATAAATTTCATTTTTTTAGTTAATTTTGTTAAATAAAAAATTCTGATAAGGGAGCATTTGTAATTTTTCAAATCACAGAGGGCAACTGTACTTTAAGCAAATTTCAGGGAGTGTATTTTTTCTTTTTTTTTATTTATTATTTTTGTTAAATAAAAAATTATAATAAGAGAATATTTGTAATTTCCATAATGAAAAAAACAATTCATATTGTAAGTAAATATCAGGAAGTGTATTTATAATTTATCCTTAAATAATAGGGTTAGGCTTGTCTTGGTCGATCATTTAGACCAAAGGGTATTGTTCTGGCTTGTGAGGCCTACCACGGATCCCGTTTCATTTCGATGATTGAAATCGTTTATTTTGTAGGACTCTTCGTATATATTATTCATGAAAAAAAAAATTAAATTGATTTGATAATCGTAAACTCTTCACTTCATTGCGCGCGTCTAAAAAAAAGAATGGTCTATTTTCAAAAAAATACATGTCTATTTTTTTGGAGACAAACATAATAAAATGAAGAAGTTACGATTATCGAATCGACCTAATTTTTTTAATGAACGATATACATAAAGGGCGTGTTTGATTGGGGGGATTGGAGGGGGGACTATCCACTATTTGGATTACAATCCAAATAGTGTTCCTTATCCGCCGTTTGATTGTTTTTTAGTCCGCCGGACATGGAGTCCGGCCGGACTCCATGTCCCCCATATGGGGGACTATTGTGTCCTAGGGGGGGTGGGATAGAATGTGTGAGACTATTCACTGTTGGGATTAGATGCGAAAATGACCATTTTGACCCTCTACTATTTGATTATGTATTATATTTAATAAAATTCAATAAAATTTAAATGTCTCAATTTAAAAATAAAATAATTTTATTTAACTTTTTATTGATGTTTTATTTATTTAAATTTTTAAAATAATTTTTTATAGATATTTTATTGATGTTTTATTTCAAAATTTTGTTTATAATTTATTTAATTTCATTATTTAAATTTTAATATGTGTTTTATTTAAAATTTATTTAAAATTTTAATTAAAAAAATAATATAAATTTTTTATACAGGTTATACAGTATTTTATTAAATCAAATTTAGTGGTTATTTATTTATTTAATTGTGTAAAAAAATAAATTTATTTAATTGTGTAAATAAACAAACACAGTAAAGTTTTGCATGTAAAAAAAATAATGATTTGTTATACAGTAATGATTTAAAACAAATTTTATTGATATTTTATTTATTTATTTATTTAATTTTAAAAAAAAACGAATTTATTTAATTAAAAATAATTAAAATATTAAAGATATGTTTAATATTACTATTACTTAGTAAACAATTGAAAAAGGGTAAAATAGTCTTTTGTTCATTTATTCTATCCAGTCCGTCCAACCAAACGTTGGATTCACTGAAAATAGTCATATCCAGACATCTAATCCCATGAAAAAATAAACACAGGATACATATCCAATCCGACCATTGAAGTAGAACTCTCAATGAGCCTCATGGGTTCGAAGAATACCAACCCCTTAAATAATAGGAGATATTACTTTTATGCTGGTTTTTGAAAAATAATTGCACACTTGTCATAACTTGAATGGTATAGAATATTGGCCCTATTTAGTAGGGCTTATTTGAAGCTTATTTCAACTTTTATCTTAATTTAAGTTATTTAGATGTGTTTGGTTTAGTTTAATAATATAAATTATACCTTTTTGTAAGTCAAAAATCAGTTTTTTCTTTGAGTAAGAGAGGAGAAGCTTTTTTTGTAAGTCAAAAATCAGCTTAAGCTCGCAGCTACCATTTGAGGGGCAAAATGACTTAAATGCCCCTTACAATTTCAAGTTATTACAAGTGTGCTATGTATATAAACCAAAACAGATTCATTTCTCTCTCATACATGAACCGGAGAAGCGATTTCCGGCGAATGGAGGCGATTTTTGGCGAAGGGGATTTATGGTGATGGGAGGTGATTTCTGGTTCTGTCTCTCTCTCTCTCTCTCTCTCTCTCTCTCGGAGGCGATTTTCGGCGAAGGGGATTTCCGGTGACAGGAGGTGATTTTTGGTTCTCTCTCTCTCTCTCTCTCGAGATCTGAAACTCTCTCCGTCACCACAGCCATCGTGATTTGAAACCCTAACCAAAGAGGCAAAACCCTCCCGTCGCAGAGGGGCAAAGACGTAGCTCACTACCACATCTGCATGACGATCGAACAGTCACGAACAAGATCTCACCATCGACGACGTGACGATCGAACGGTGACGAACCAGAGCTCACCATCGATGTCGTGACGATCAAACAATGATGAACCAGAGCTCGTAATCGACAACCCTCATCTTGATCGATCGCAATC